TAGCCCAGCTTGAGGTTTGCTGGCCGTCACACCCTCACTCACATGTCCTCACTCACATGTCCTCGCTCACATGTCCTGGCTCACTCCTGTTGCTGGCACCCAGGTGTGCAGGCCTTCTCACCCGCTGTCTCCTCCGGTTGCTGACATTTGACCTCTCTCATTCCAGTCACCCCAGTTGCTGGCACCCATCACACAGGCCCTCTCACCCATGGTCTGAACCTGCTTGGTGGCACTCAGACCTCCACACATATATGCACACAGAATAGTGTCCCACACCCAGGAAAACAGTTGGAAAGGAGTTTAATAGAACAGACTGCTCTGATTAGGTGCAGGGTGAGGCCAGACAAGGGGCTGAATGGCAGAGCTCAGAGGGTTGTGGCCAGTGGTGCAGAGTCTAGTTGGAGGCCTGTAGCTAGCGGTGTCCCCCAGGGGTCAGTCCTGGGTCCAGTCTTGTTCAATGTATTCATCAATGACCTGGAGGAAGGGGCAGAGTGCACCCTCAGCAAGTTTGCTGATGATACTACACTGGGGGGAGTGGCTGATTCACCCCAGAAGACTGTGCTGCCATTCAGAGGGACCTGGAGAGGCTGGAGAGCTGGGCCGAGAGGAACCTCATGAAGTTCAACCAAGGCAAGTGCAAGGTCCTGCACCTGGGGAGGAATAACCTCATGCACCAGTGCAGGCTGGGGGCTGACCTGCTGGAAAGCAGCTCTGCAGAGAAGGACCTGGGAGTCCTGGTGGACAACAAGTTAAACATGAAGCAGCAATGTGCCCTTGTGGCCAAGAAGGCCAGTGGAGCCACTGGCATGAGGCCAGCGGAGGGCTACGAAGGTGAAGAAGGGACTGGAGCATCTCTCCTCTGAGGAAAGGCTGAGGGAACTGAGCCTGTTCAGCCTGGAAGAGAGAAGGCTGAGGGGGGACCTTATCAATGTGTATAAGTATCTGAAGGGAGAGTGTTGAGAGGATGAGGCCAGACTCTTCTCCGTGGTGCCCAGCAACAGGACAAGAGGCAACAGGCACAAACTGAAACACAGGAAGTTCTGTCTGAACATAAGGAAAAAATTTTTTACTGTAGGAGTGACCGAGCACTAGAACAGGTTGCCTGGAGGTGTTGCAGAGTGTGCCGTCCTTGGAGACATTCAGAAACTCTCTGGACAGGGTCCTGGGCAACCTCCTCCAGGTGACTCTGCTTGAGCAGGGGGGTTGGTCTAGATGATCTCCAGAGGTGCCTTCCAACCTCAACCATTCTGTGATTTATCCCCATATCTCACTATTTTCTCACGTTTGTTCCTCCCCAGATCACCTAGATCCCTCCTTTTTCTGCCTTTGGTTCCTCCCGCAAACATCCCATAGCAAGTCTTGTGCAATCCCCAAATACTCTTCCCCTGCACACCGCAATGTGTCCCGCACCACCAGGCAGTGACCCGCTCAGTCCGAGAGGTGATTGGGATTGCTGCTCCCCGTTGGCTCACCGTGAGAGTTTTCCCACCTGGACTGTGAGGCTGACGCTCTCCTGGACAGCCCTGGCTCAAACAGGGTGGTCATTCCTCCAAGCAGGTAATTTGGGTTCCACACCTGCCCTTGTGCTTCTGAGCTTTGCTATATTTGCCCTTGATGGGCTGATGGCTCTGCTTGGTGGGCCTGGGAGTAATCGGGGCAGGATATTTTTCGGGTCTGCCCACCTGCCATTGAGCTTCTGTGCTCCTTTGTGCTTGTGGAGATGAGCTTTGTACTACATAACTTATCATTGATAAGTGGTCCGTGCATTGGGAACGAGGGAGGCTTCATCGACTTCAAGGAATGAATTTTGAAACCTCTGGTTAGTTGTGTGATTTAGTTTCTCATTTGCTTTCCTGCCAGTCAGACTCCAACTTTTAAGGAGAGGTAGGTTCACAACTGAAAATGCTGTTGGCAAGATGGGATTGGAACCTTTTTCCAAACTGAAACCTGCAGCTCTTTGGTCATCTCTGTCAGTGAAGGGATCCCTATCATTGTGAATGAGCACAGTTAAGTCTTAGCAGCCTTAAAATCAAAGCCAGGATGGGGAAACAGAGCTGAAAAAGTAATGTTTCCAGAGACTGGGCAAACATTGTTCTTCTTGCCAAATCAAGACTTTTTATAAAGCTTTTCTGATTATCTCCTCCCAGGTCCTCTTGGCTCTTTTCTCTCTCCCTTTACCATTACAAGCATTTCCCAAGCATCTTGTTTTCTTGTATTTGCTTTTTACCAGCCTGTTGGCCTGCCGGCCAGTCAGCTCACTCTTGCAGTAGTACAGATGTGGGTCAGATGTTTCTTCCAATGACTAATCTCCTGAATCTGCCTCCTTGGATCTTTCTCCATCATACTGTTAACCCTGCTGTTCGACTTGCCCGGCCACACTTTCACGTAAGAGACTTGCAGTGCAGTTTTGCCATCTCTTCCCTGTTTCCTGCCCTCTAAAGTACTTTGCCTTCTACCTCTCCAGCTCCCTCATGCAGCCATTAGAAAGCCTGCACAATGCCATTAACTTCTCTCCTTTCAAGACCAGACACTAGGAAGTGCTCTCAGGCTAGTATAACTGGAAGTCACATTGCTTGCTCTTTCCCCTTGGCAGTAGCATCGATCTTCTTTGCCTTGCTGAGAGTCTTGATTCCCCAGCTCTGATGTTTCCTGTTTCTGTCTGTCACCTTCTAAAAACATCTCATACCTCACAGCCAAACCCTTCTTCCCATCTATATTCTATTTTGAGCTCTTTTACCGGATAGTCTCCCTGTTTAACTTTAGCACTTAAGCTGCCGCAACATTTATGTATAGCTTCTGTGAATTTTTTATTTTTTGCTAAGCCTAATTGGGACGTATTAGTACCACCTACCTTCAGCCCCTCTGCTGGAGGGAGTGGAGGAAGGCAAGCGCTTCCAGAGTGGTAATTCCTGGCACCTAACTTAGCTCCTGCTTAGCTTAAGTGCTCCGAATTACACTCTTCTTATCTTGTGTCTAAGTGGGGAATTCAGTGCATTTTCTGACTCTCAGACATTCTTCAGTGCCCAAATTGCATATAATGGGTATGCATGGATTGTAGTCATTTTTACCCTATTAAAAAGATCAGCGGCACTACAGAACTTGGGAATGTGACTTTTTATTTATTCTTTATCTATTCTTTTATTCCCCATTGTAGGTTGCATCCGTAGGAGGAATCAGTATATTTGTTTTTTTAACTTGATTTTTGCAGTTCTCACTTTTTATAGGAGATTTTGAATGAAAAATTTAAGCCTACAGACTATATATTTCCTCTTTTTAGTAGCTAGATTACAGGCTGTTAGTCCTTAACGATATGGAACGTCAGAGCAATAGAGCTGAAAAGGCTTATCTCCAAAATAAAACAATTCAGAGATCACACATAAAATATCCCAAATCTGTTACTGTCTTGCGTGGAGAGCTTTTTATGTGGATTAAAAAATGATTATTTCCTTCTCAGTCTCCTAAAAGCTATAATTGCCAACAATTTCATTCCGATAGGCAAAGTTTATTATTATTTTTAAAAGGATCAGTCAGGTCTCCACAATATTTTTTGGAACCTGCAATCAGTTTTTTTTGGGAGGAGGGAGCAGGAGGTAAAGCGTATATGATCACAACAAAAAAGTGGGCTTGTAGTGATAGCTGCTATCTAAATTATAGTCCATAAAAATAAACACTAAGCTCATTTATGTGATAGCTGACAAAATGTCAGGTTCTTTTAAAGTAGTTTGAACAGTATTTGTATGATTTCAGCCTGTTATGTTGGTTCCTAAAAAGGCAGACTATTTAAGAACACAGCATAATAGGCACTGCTTGTATCTTATCCCTTTTTAGACCTACTGTAAAAAGAAAAATACTCACACTTTTGGAAACGATTTAATGTGAAGAAAGCTTTCAGTAGTCTTCCTTTAATTTTAATGTGTCAGTTTCCTTTTCCATCGTAACTACAGCTTTTAAACTGAATTACAGCCTGTGTATTTTAAGATTCCTTCCATAGTTATGGGTGTGGATCACACAGTTTCCGTACTCTGCTCTGCATGGGTAGGAGTAAAGGAGGCTGTGGTTTGATGCCAGTATTTGCCCTTACTTGTAACATCCTCACTGAGATAGTGCTGTGAGTTAGTTAACTGAGCTGGAGGTAGTTTGGTGGTTCTCAAGCAGAATGGATGGTTCTGGATATATAAATGACTATTCTTGGTATTAGAGACACAATTTCTTACTGACAACATGTTGAAGATCTGATCCTCTTCCTACAGGTTGGTGTCTCCATTCAATCTTGATATAATTGGCAATGAAGAGTTTACTGTATTCTATTTCAGAAGCCCTTTCATGAAGGGTGGTTAAAATTATTTTTTCCTGAGAGAAATTAATGGAGAACTAATGCTATTGTGGACTATAGTAATCAATAAAATATTTTTACATTGCTTGGCTTTCTGGATCTCGCTGGCTTAGGTTTGTAACTATCATCCCGCGCTTGTAGCAGGCTTTTTTCAGTAGGCCTTCTGTATTTTATCTGATTTCATGAGTGTTTACGAAATCCTCACCTTGCAAAAGTGATTGTACTTTGGAGCGCACCTTTATAAGAATGTGACTGTCATTTATTCTTCAGGTTTAGAGCCTGAGCTTGAAAGTTGTCATCTAATGATTCATAAGGAAATTGAGCAATCACAAAGGCATTCCGTAAAGGAAAGATCATGGTAACATTCTGACTTCTGGTTGGGTAAGATTTTTTTTTTTTGTCCCTTATATAGTTCTACATTGATTAAACCAGCCTTACAAGCTTTGGGTGATGATTAAACAGTTTTCTTCCTTCCAAAACTAAGAATTGTCCAAAAATTATTAAATAATACCTCACAAGAAAGTTTGTCCGATATTTAGTGCGCTAATCAAAGCTTAAATTTTAGTTACCAAGACTTCTTTGGTAGTATTAGGCAAGTAATCAGTAAAGCCATTAAAAGTTTAGTGTCTGAATGTGAGGTAGGCCCTAGAAACTTCTGTGCAGCTGAGCCTCAGACTCTATTTGCTTCAGTTTTCTATTTGTAAAAAAGGAACGTGAAACTTTGCCTTCTTCTGTTTTGCGTTAAAAATCGTGAGGTGATCTGAAGAGAAGGTAAGGGGATAATGTGACCTGGGTGTTTCCCAGATCTCTGGGTGCGTGCCTGGGTTATATCCTGACTGTCTCAGTGCAAGATCCATGCCAACGCACTCGTCAGGTAAACCGTGGGTTTATGGCCCAAGTGAGTTTGCAAACGGCAGCTGCTGCTCCACAGCGGCACAGGTTGGAAGGATCAGTGGTCTGTGATGAGTAGCCCTCAGTTCCAGATAGCTATAGTACCTCATAGATGGAATTAAAAGAAGGTAGAATTAGGGGAGCAGAGTAATAGGAAATGTATATATTACTGCATTTAATGTAACAGGATGATGTAAATAATCTTATTAGTTTAGGCTGGTAGAACTGTGCTGTGCACATCTTTTTTTCTGTATAGCTGGAATTGTTTGGTGACTTAGACGGAGCTAGTCAGTAACTGATGGAATGCATGACATACATTTGATGGGAACCTGAGTGGATGAAGACGTTGTAGAATCACAGGATAGAGATGTCAAAAAACTACGCTTAAGTAGCAGTTACTAATGTTTTCCAGTTAGCCCTGCTTCCTTACCCAGGCACAGAGGCGTTGATGGAAAAGGTCAGCAAGACTCTAATAAAGCATTAAACCTGATAATCAAGTGATACAGCATGTCCAACTATTGTCTGGCCAGTCTAATTCCCCTAAATTCAAAGACTCTGAGTTCTGTCCTTTTCCTAAAAAACTACACAGAACAAGTCTGGAAGCATCTGTAATCTCAGGTTTCCCCTTACTCCCTTACTACCTTTTCATATCTCACTGATAATATCCCATGCAGTGAGACCTTTTACCATACAACAAAGTAAATATAATGTAAATAAATACATATACATATATATATATATAAAACCCATTTTTCTAGATTACTCATAAACAAATGGAACTGATTTAAAAAACCAACACAGCTCAGATATGTCACCTAATCTTTCGGTATGTGCATGGAAAAAAGGTGTCATTATCTCTTGGAAAGTGAATGGTGCACTGTGGCCTGTTTGGGGCAATCTGTCTGTGTGTTTATGTACCTGAAGAAAAAGAACATGATTTATTTAATAAGGAGACTGTGAATTTATTTTTAAGCATGCTTATTTTTTGTAATTTTTGCCTTTTTCTCTTATTACGTATATAAATTGGCTTACATAGATCTGTGATTGACTGTTCTGAGAATAAAACGTATAGCCTTTGATATTAAAATGTTTTGAAACCACATTAAAAATGCTGAGATGCTACTTTTTGTAAGCTTTTCCATGGCCTAATTTTGGGAAAAATCCCAAATGATCTGAAGTCAATTAAGTTCTGAATGTCAAAATTTAGATTAATCATGAAAGAAAGACTTTTCCATTATCAACATTTTTAATGAGCGTTCCTTCCTCAGGCTCCTGCTGGTCTGATTCTGACACGCTATCCAACATGTACCATAATCTTTGAATGGTCCTGTGGATATTTGGTGGCACTAATCTGGGGAATAATTTACTGTTCATCACAAATAAAAGTTAGATTCACACTTAATGACTTAACATTTGTGAGCTTGCAGATAACTCCTCCTAACTGAATTGTTACATAATCCGTTTTGAAAGGAGAAACAACTTTGAGAGAAAGAAGAATGGTTCTTCTTTTAACTTTGGCTTTTGTGTTTATTAGCTCTGCTACTGGCCAGCGTATATTTGGGGTTCTTCTTTGTGCTTTCTCTATGTAGTGCTGTATGATACTAACAGCAGGACTAATGTGCCTTGTAAGGGCACAGGTTCCCAAGAGCAGGAATAACAGAACTCAGCCCTTAAATCTGTCTAGGGAGGCAGTTCCTTTTCATGGCCTTACTAATGAGGAATATATCAGGAGAAGATTCCTCTGTTTAAAGCAGGGGCTGGATACCTGGAAAAAGATGAGTTGAGAAAACAAAGACAAAGCGTCAGAAGTCTGTTGTGTAAACACAGCAGTCTTGCATTATAGCTCTTCTTTCCTGATGCAAATGAAGAGGAGTAAATTTTATAAGAAACGATGAGGAATAGTCAACAAAATTATTCAGCTTCACATTCAGTTTTATTGTTTTTTGGTTTAGTTTACTGAGTGCAGCAGATGGCCTTGAGAAAACAATGAGTCTTTGCTTCTTTCTCCAGCATTGACAATTCTTCTTTCTGAGGCATTTGAAGAACCTACCAGTGACAGGTCACGAAGACTGGCCTGAGATTTACAACGTCTTGCATTGTGAGGACAACAGGAAAAACTTCACTCAGAAAATGTATGGAGTGTACTGAACGAGCAAAATAAGTAGATGCAGACAATTCCCGCAAGAGTGTAATGTTTTGTTTGACAGTGCAAGGAGCTGTAATGTGTAAGCCATACAGTAACATATGATTGCCTCAAAATGAATTAACGCCTGGGTTTGGGTGTCTCTTTTGTTAGGATTCACAGATTAATATCCAACTGAAATTATTGCATGAGTACAGAAAACGGGACATGCTGGTCTGAAATGGAGAGGTGGTTAAACATTGTATAGAAAAATAAAGATTGCTTGGAATCAGAATATTGTATATATGTTGATAGAACAGATTACAATATATTTAATTTTTGGAAGCCTGGGGAGGCCAAGTGTCTTCTGAAGAGCTTTCTCTGTTATCCAGAATGATCTATAAGGAACGTACGAAAGACTTGAGATCTCAACAGATGCTTCCAGACTTGCTCTGTATAGTTTTTTAGGAAAAAGATAGAACTTTGAATTTAAGGGGCATTAGGTTGGGCAGACAATAACTGGAAACAGTGCATCATTTAATTACCAGGTTTAATGTAGTATTACGGTCTTCTTGACCTTCTCTATCAATGCAAAACATGGACAGATGTTGGCATTAAAGAGAAAAAGAGAGCAGAAGTGGATAGATATGAACAGGCCAGCTGCCAAAAGAACAGCTGACACTATGATGACATCAAGGGCAATCTGGGGAGTCCTCCTTTCCCAGGCAAGCCTGGCATGAAGCAAATGTATCAGTGCCTGCATATGCAGAAACCATGGCAGTGTCTGTCAGTTGTTTTTTTGGTCTGGTCAGTATGTCTTTTTTGCTGTGAGATATATTTTGCTTGTCTTTTTTAGCTGATTTCTCTGATCTTAGTCTGTCAGAGTCTTGGAGTTAAATTCTTGTTTCATCTCTGGGAACAGAGCTTCAAGAGGAAATGGGCATTTAGGTCATCTTGGGCATTTTCACCAGATGCGCAGAAGTACTTCCCTCTGAGATGTGTGTGCAGTATGTTACAAGCTTCTTGTAAATTTGTGATTTCTTTCCAGTGTAGGCTATCTAGCTTTGACTATTATGAGAACAATAGCAAATGCATTGGAAATGTGTCATAGCTACAGCAGTTACTTGAGAAAGCGACCTCTCTCAAGGGAGGTACTTATGTGGTATGGTGGAAATGGTTTCCCACAGCCTCTTTCAAGTTGCTTTGCTAACTACTTTTGTAGCGATGGGTGCAAGAGGCTGCTGAGACATTGGTAGCTGATGCGGTGACAGCAAAAAGTTCAACCACTACAGCGCCTGTAGTCGTTCATTTTCAGCAGCACTGAGATAAATGTGACAACTAAGTGCATCCCCTTCCCTCCCGCGCCCAATCTCAAATGCTCTGCAATGGTCTGTGTGTGGCTTCCACTGTTCATTGTCAGCGTAGTGGTGTTGATACTGTTCCCAGCAGGAGTTTTAATTTTCCAGAGAAGCAAACAGTGCTTTTGTCATACATAGCATATCCCAATACCTGCAAAAGATAATTACCTGGAAGAAATGAACCTGTCACTAAGAGGCACAGAAAAAGAAGTCTGGTAGTCTAGTGGGGAAGATACTGAAGATACTAATCGAGTTTCTGTTGTTGGCTTTGCTGTGCATGTGCGGAGTGACCTTGGTTAAGCCTTGTGCTCTGTGAAATGATGCAACAATATTTCCCTTCTCAACTGTTTGCCTAGACGTCTTTTCAAAATAGGTACTCCTTCTGGGGTGGGTCTCTTTCACTGTGTGTGCGCCTAGTACCTAGCTCCATATATGGCTGCCCTCTGGGGACAGCCTTTGGAAAGTATTGTAATGCCCATAACAACAATAAAGGCAGTCTAAGCCTGTTCAGAAGAGGTACTCTGCGTTCTTCTTGAAAACATCTGTCAGTGCTCCTCAGGAATTTGCATCTGTGGACTTCCACCTTTCCGTAGGGTTCAGAAAACCAAGGCTGCTAAACATGAGGATGCAGCTCAGTGTGCTGCTGACAGAAAGGTGGCTGGAAGGCTGCAAGGTGGGCAAGGGGCAAGGAGGAGGTGAGGCATCACTGCAGATTCTGCCAGTGGTCCTCAGTCTGCTTCTATTCCTGTATTGCATTGAGACCCAGCTGCAGCCTCAAAGAAGAAGAAAGCGTTTTTATTCTGGGACTGTATATCTAAGAAGAAAAAAGGCTGAAGAACAGAAGTGGAGGTAAGTGTTCTCAGTAAGGGGAATATGACTGTAGACTGAGCTTTCATGAGAAAGCAAGTTAATATGGAGTCTGACAACCTGAAAGATGGTGTGGGAAACCATTTCAACCATCATTGCCGTAATGATGACTTGAGGAAGAAAAAAATAAATCCCAGAGACAAGGAGGTGAGGAGAACAGGATTCTTTTGTTTAGCATGTTCTGGGGTACACCGTTGACAGATTCTATAGAAAAGCCTTTGTCTGTTTGTTTGTATCCTAAAAGAGAAAAAGAAAAAATATTATCTGTAGCCCTTAAAGAACGAGTCTACAGTGTCTTTAATGCAAAATCTCTTGCAGCAGTGTCCAGCTTAGCAGGCTGGCTGTGCTGATATTCCTGCTCAAGGTTTCATCCACGTCAGTGTCAGTTTTCAGGCTTTTACGTCTTCCAGGGTGAAATTGTTCAAGTTTTTCCACTTTTAGAGCTGGGCTCCAAGCCCTTCCTACTGCAGAAGGACCAGCCAAGGAAGCTGATGAATTAGGCAATACAGAACCGCTGCCTGCAGCAGCTCGGTCTCTTCCGTTTCTTACAGGAGGTCATTTGCAGCCAAGTCAAGTATGTGCACATTACAGTGACTGGCATGCCAACACTTGCTGTATTTTATCTCTGTAATGTCTTTAACAGCTCTTTTCTTTGAGTCATCTTTGACCCAAATCTGTGCTCTTAGGTGGGCAGCAGTATAAAATTGTACAGAGAGAGAGAAAATTCATGCTATATATTAAAAAAAACAAAAAACAAACAAAAAACCCTTCAAGTACCTTCCTGTTTTGTCCTCCTGTGTTACAGGACGTTACCTGTATTACAGATGTCATTTGCAATGCGGTCTTGTTAATCTTCAGTTTAAGCACACTGGTTTTTATTGTTTTTGGTTTTTCTTTCCCCTAGGCATACTGTGGATTTTGGTATTCTTTTGCCAATATGACCATTTAAAACATGAAACTAAAGCCTTGAAAGTTTGACTGGAGCAAAGATTCATTGACTGGAGCTTCTGAAGATGCTCCAAATGATAGATAGAATACTAGTGTTTTAGCAGTAAGAGTGGAATTTAAGTGATTTTTCATAGGCACCAGCTATTCTTTATCTCCCTTGTTTGTTAGCTCCATAGCCCTGCTTCAAGGATTGTTTTGCTCAGTTTGATCCCTCATCATCTCTTGATCCCTGCCAAGCCAGTGTTCTTGGCTGCTTTGAGATACATGGAGAGAGTAAACATTCACCATCCATAGTACGAAGTTTGTTCAGCTGCTCTAATAACAACCAGATGCAATAGTGAACAGTGCAGTGCATGTATTTGGGTTGCCTTTAATTTGATTGGGCTTTGCAGAAGAAGGGTTTAGTTAAAAATAAGAAACCCGCAAAACCCTAAAAGTCATTCTTTGATATTAGCTTTTGCATGAGAAATCTCAATACAAATCTGTTTATCTGGGTGATGGCCAGCTGGACTGCTGAGTCTGAGGAAAGATATTCAGCTATAAATGCTTTGATATAAACCAAGGACCTTTTCCTAAATTATCTGGGATGTTTAGGTGGGACTACACATTTCCATGGCACTGTTTCTGGGGCCAGTGGCTTCTTTTGACAAAACTCTTTTGAATCGTCCCATTGTGATTTGTTTCCTTGTTGTTGACCTGCTGGGTCAGTAGGAGAGAGGTTCATCTGCCTTTTTCGATTGCTAGATTTCTCAACACTCTAACTGCTCGATATAATACACCATTCAGAAGTGAAGTAAAACCAGTTCAGCATCGCAGGGCCGTATTCACAGTATCTAGTACTAAGTGCCTGACTGACCCCAGTGCAGTCTCATGCAGCTCTGCCCTTTCCCTTTAGGCACTTCTCCCTGCAGAACATAGGATTTTGCACGTGTGCGTTCCTCATCCTTCCTTCAAAGCTAAATTTGCCTTCCCCAACGTACTTAATGAGGTCCAAAGCACTTTGTTAGGAACTTGTGATGCATAAATGGATATCGTGCTGACTCAGGTTTTCTGTTTCAGAATCTTTCTTGAGGTGTTTGAGTCCTGCCCCTAGTCTTGGTGACAGGCCTGGGCTCACAGATATGCTTGGACAAGACACCTGATACTCACAGTAGCGTAGCACCTGGCAGACCACAGTATTGACCTGGCTTGCAGAGCAAGCTTTGGCATTCAGGGTAAATATATTTACAGTCAAGAGAGAACCAGAATTACCATCCCCCCAAAAACAAGCAAGATTCCACAAAAAATGGGCTCAAACTTGTCACTGAAAGAAAGAGCCGCGGCAGTCTACGGACATCCACAAACGCGCAGACACACGGGCGGCACGCGTGCGTGCGCCTGCCTGCGTGACACAGTGCCGAGGAGCGAGAGAAAGAGAAAGCAAGCCCTGAAACTTAGACTCCTCCTGCAGCTCTGCATCTGCTCTGAGTCACGGCTATGACTCACACTGGCAGCGCTCACGTTAGCTAGCGTTCAGATGGAGCAGCTCTGGCAACAGAAGAAGCAGGTTATATTATTGATTACCTGCTGCAGTCGACACTTGCGCCAAGATTTTTTTTTTTGCGAGCACAGCTGAAACACAGGAGGCTCTGCTGAGCACCGTTGTTAGTACCGTTCCCTTAAGGTAAGGATGCCTGTTATTTGCTAGAGAAAGACGTGAAAGGGAATTTGGAGCTTGTGAAGGTTGAGCTTCTTTCTGCTGCTGCTTAGTCTCAGAGGATGCTGGTCTTTGCAGCCCCGTTACTGCAAAGCTTTGTCTCGGCTGCTTGCAATGCCATATGGAGAATCATATGGCTTAATGGGCAACACACGTCCTAGGAAACAAAATAACTATATTTTCATTCATTGATGTTATGTAAGACGTGGCAGCCATGTTAAGGACAGAAAACCGCTTTCGAAGAAACAGTGCTGCTAGACGTTAGGACAGGGAAAACAACTAGTTTTTCAGCAGCCTTCTGCTTGTTCTATGGAGAGCACTGCAGTTCCAGCGTTCTTGCTTAAAACTGAATTTACTGGCTTCTGAGTTTCTGTGTTAATAAAACAAAAAAGTGGCATTAGAAATGGCTGAATAATAGTTGTTCACCCTTAAAATCACAGTGTTTTGCCTTTAGTATTCAGGCTGGTAGTATGCGTGCACTGTGATCTGTGCATTGCCTGGATGTAAATCTTGTTTGAATAAAGTGAGCTTCTTTGAACAATGCTTTCAGATGCCCTTTTTTTCCATTTTCTGCTACTAAAAGCCCATATAGGATATCCTGCTCTGACAATTGATTAGATGCAGAAAATGGGACATATTCTAGTTATGGTTTACGTATGCAGAGTGACTAAAACAATTTTTTGTAGTCACTGTAGTGTTATTTTATTCAATCTGGTGCTATAATTTTGATGTAGTCTAGACTGCTACTGCTAATTACCCTCACGTGGAATCCCCTGAGTCTTGAGTTTTTGCTGTACTCTCCAGAACAGATTTTTTAAGTTAGGATAATCTCTGTTTTTGAGTTGCAGCAATGGATTTATCTTAATTTCATTCCTTTAGCAGCATTAGTTTTTTGATTTTGCAAGGCAGTGTCCTTTAAGATGCATCTTACAGTGAGGTTGGCAGCTCTCTTAATAACAAGGGAACTTAGTCACTTCTGTGTTTGATTTTCAGGATGAGAGAAAGAGGACATTTTAGAAAACTGATCATTTATTCACTAGCTTACGTTCAATCACCTGAAAGTACCACGGATTTCCTTGTAAAATTTACCTGGAAATGACCAGTATCTCCTTTCAAAGATACATTACAGCATTCTTTAGGTTCCTTTTTAAGTTAATCTCCTGTTTGCTAATTTGAAGCATTCACTGATGCACAGTGTTTTGTTCTCATTAGTATGAATTAGCTAGATTTGTCATTATTTCCTTTTTAAAAATTATTAGGTTTCTTAATAAAACAAACAGAAAAGTTTATTAGTGCATTTGTAGTATCTTTAGACTTTTTGTGTCACTGTTTGTTGTGACAAACAAACAAAAACCCAGACAGACACGTGGGCCCTTCAGTAGCTAAGAAAAATGTATCTTACAGTGACAGTGATAAAATAAATACAGGAAGGGTGTAGGATTTTTAGCTACTGGACACCATTCACTTTATTGTCAACAAAATAACAAAAATGTTCAAATTTATTCACTGCTTTCCTGGGTGTTCTTCGTACACCTCGTCTCTTTGGCACGAGCACGTAGTAAATTGTCATGCTTGTGATAGCAAACCAGAGCCTCTCCTTTCCATTTAAAATAGAATATGGTGTGCAGAATCCACTCATGTAAACTCTTGAGACAGTGTTTTGTACTCCTTGTGATGTCCAACCTAGCCTATAGTATGAGAGAAGCTTTTAAAACAACGTCATTCTTGGGCCCCCATGCCCCAAAGGAAAATTTTAATCACTGGCTAGTAATTTCATAATTTATTACTAATCAGTGGTAAAAATATTGGTAAAACTATTTCTCATCTTACAGCATAATAAATGCAAGCTAGTTTATCCAATATTAGGGCTGACTTTAAGACTTGTCAGTGCTGGAGTCTTGGCACATGATGGCCCTTCCCCCCCAAGTCTAACAGATCCAAATAAAGCACACTTTTACGGTCTTAATTTTTCCATTGCTTTGAATCTGAATTAATGTTTTCTGAGATTGTGTATCAGGATTCTGTTTATCATCAGGTTTGTTTTTTAGCTTGTATGCTTTTTTAGAGCATGTATTCTGTATTATGTCAAATCAGAACAAATAATTTATGAAAATAAAAGTTAATTATCTTCAATTGAGTTTGCATCATTTCTTTATTGATGTGGATGCATTAATAAAGATTGTGGGTGCAGTTAAATAATTAACAGTTAACAGTTGGAAAAGAAGTAGCATGAGTGTGTTTGAAAGATAGGATGGTAGTTACCCCCTGAGTCAACGTAGCGCTGAACACAGCCTCTCCATCCTAGTTGTCCACAAACTATTTTTGCTGGTTGTGACCACCAGAGAGAGCTCCCTCTGGTTACTCTGGTTCTTGTGTTATGCCTGTGTCCATGTCCCTCTCGCTCCTGGTGGAATACCTACCGCTCAATGAAAAAGAGCGCCTGCTGGAAAGAAAAGCGGAAAGCCCAGCTTTGCAGGATGGCTGGACAGTCTGCATAATGTGAAGTGGCAAGCTTCTAGGAAGACAAATTAAAGCATTTTTTTAGTGTCTGTTTGTTACAATATTGTCCTGGTGGTTACCTGCCTTCTTTTAGAGATATGGACAACTCGTAACTAAAAGGTAAATAGCCAAGGTAGAAAAGATTTGTGCAACAAAATGATCGTAACTCTTGGTTAAGTGCAAAGGAAGCAGTTGCACTTGATCTTTGTATTGCAAGGATTTTGTTATAAATATAATGTCAATAATGTAATAATCTAAATACAATGTCAAGAATCTGCCCATTGGTCACCTTACAAACTAGTGTTTGTTGCTTTAAGTCAGCTTTGCATCTAGCTGTAAGGGCAACAAACAGCAGAAGCTATTAGGACCATTTCACCTGTTCTTTTGATAAGACTTAAAGTGTGAGAGTTCACGGTCTCCCTGGCCTTTCTTGTCTGTAGTAAGTGTTGAGCCACCTCCAGGGAGCCCAAGCAGAAGATCCCAGCTCACCGTTCTCCCCTCCTGTTTATCTACTGTGTGTCAGCTGAGCTTGCAGCTGGTTTTCTCATCTCTGCATTACTCCGGAGCTAGTGTTTTGTTATCCCTGCCCTTGTTAAAGCTTTTGCAGACTTCCTGGTGACATTTCTGCCCCTTTTTCCCACTCTCGCTTCAGCTACTCTGCAGAAGCAGAGCTGCTTAATGACTCTCTCCCCTTGCTTGGTTTCCCACCTAGGCAGGTCACAAATGTTCATTTTCTGAAAACAATGCACTCTTGCAAGCTGTGGAGCTCATGTAATTCAGTTCTTCCCTCTGGTACCACTTCTGTGGCTAACTACAGGTGTCCTGTTTGACTATCCTTTTTTTTTGTTTGTTTGTTTTTGTTTCTTCCTTTATCCAACCCACTTCTTCCTTCCATGCCTGCCTTTGTTTGTGGCTCTCCTCTAGGTGTGTTATTTTGAGCCCTCCGCCTGCCTTCCTGGTACATGTAGAAGAGCCCTGCTGGGTTGTCTCTGATCTGTCACGCGTCCTGCTTGCCCAGCCCGGGAGCAGAAGTTTTGACGTGGGCAGTAGCATCCCCCTTGTGGCGGTGGTTCTGCCTTCCTTCCCGTGACAAGGGGAAATGACTGCACACTAACTGCTGCTCTTGCCTTGGGGAGTAAGTGGAGAGGAGAGGGGCGCTCGCTGGGAGGAAAATAAAGCCTCTCTCCAAAATTCTTGCAGCTTTGAGACCTTCAGCTGGAGGAAGCACCTGCTCTCTTATTGTATACAAAACCTATGTCAGCAATGATTTATAGCCAGCTTTGGTAAATAGCTGATTAAGATCTTAGGGGAACTGCAGTTTCATTATTGAAATGGATTAATGCGAATCATTTTATTAGGGGTGGTTTGGGGATGCTCTTATGGTTTTACCTAATGATCAACCAGGAATGGAGCACTGCTGTACCTGATACTGAGTTTAGAGAGAGTAGAAGATGGTCCCTGCACTGAATAAAGCTTTTGTCACATTGTTTTTAATGCAAAAAATGATTGACATATTTTATAAGGTGATTTGCTATTCATATTAGACTTTACGAAGCAGGACTCTTTTCAGTATACTAAATAGAAGCAGAATATTGGTGTCTATTTAATCTTTCATTCTTGTGCATCAAAACAGCCAAGCATTTTTATTTTCAACTCAAAATTTGAGCAGGAGGGAGGGGAAAAGTTTGTTTGAGTTGGTCTCGTCTACAAGCTTTTTGTTTCTTTTTTTTTTTTCTTGTTACAAATAACCTCCTAGAAACTGAGGTTTATACTGGAACAAAATCCTTGCATGTGAGCAGCATGAATAGCCTTGTTTGCAGTACTGAACCCTCCTGTTTGTTGGGGAACTCTTCTTTTTGTTTGAGCAATTTTTAGAAATTACAACTTTTACAGTCAGTCGTTTTCTTGGAGATGGGAGGGCATCTACTTTCTTCCTGTGGTTTTTCCTGTTTCCTGAATAAATCTGGTTGTTTGGATTAGATTTCTTCCCTGGGTTTAAAGAAGAGGAGGAAAGAACTGTTAAATCTTTGTTTCTATTGTGTCCTGAAAAGCTCTTCACTTAATCCTGAGGTAGTGGAAGCAGGGGGACACAAAGGGAGGTGGTGAACGCGTCGGCTTGCTCCAACGGTCCAAACTGTTAGGGGGGTGCCGTCCCACCTCCTTACATCGCGCAGTGTTTTGTTTCATGCAGAAAAAGTCACAGTTTGAGGTTTTTGCCCATTGCTACCTTTGTGTACTCTCGAGCATACACAAGTTTAAATGAAGAGTGAAGGGCGCAGCGGACTACAGTGAGTATAGCAATGATGGACCTTTCATTTGCCCTCAGGCTCTGAGTCTCCCTTTGCCTAGTCCTTTATGCCAACAGCCCCTCTGCCCTGTTCTGCGGTCAGAGGCAGCGTGAGGATGAGTCTAGTTCATTATGCTCTGGTTAAATGAGATTATGGACTGGATTATGATGCCATGGTATT